CCACTTCGACGATGGAGATGTGGGATGGATAGAGGGATAGGCACGTGACCAGTCATGTGGTAGGCACGTGATGGCATGTGACCTTGTGGTCGTGATGTAGGGACATGTGATCAGGTCTGGAACGTTCTAGAATAGTCTTGTGCATGTTGACTCAGCGGTTTGTACCCATTGTGCCCATTGCTGGACCCACTGGATATCCATGAAGGATTCCTGTAGTGTTCACTCGTTAGTGTACAGTGAGGACGTGCCCTCAAGGGTCAGCCCAGGATGTATATAAGAACCACCTGTATCGTAGAATAGTTCCCTAACTCGATCTCCTTTGCTTCTCGCCATACTCAGTGTGACCTTGTGTCCTGGTGTATCCAGCCCCAAGCCCACGGTCTCAGTTCACCCACATTCTCTCTGGGCTAGTGCCCCTAGGACAAGCGCTTCTAGTATTCACATTCGTACGCCGACACCCTTAGCTACAGGGTTAGGCTTGGTTTGGGTTTGGTTAGGGTTTGGCTATAGGTGACGCCTTAGGTTTAGTACCAGGCTACCTTAGCATTCGGCATCTTCAAGCGCAAGTTTTACCTCCTCATCCACACTCCGGAGTTCGATCTGAAGACACAGGCCAAGATTGTAGCAGCTCTTGCAGTCATCTTCAACTTCATCCGCATCCACGACCCAGAAGATATCAACGTAGAGCAATTTGATGCTCGTGCAGAGCGAGCTCATAGGGCGCCACGAGACGATGTTTATGAGGTGCCTGTGGTGGAGGAGCTGGGTGGATTTGTCTCGACAGTGGAAAAAGATGAGGCTGATAGCCGTCGTGATGGAATTGCAGAGAGAATGTGGGCTGATTATAAGGAGTACTTGCAGAATGGCGGTGATGAGGAGGAGGTCGATTATGATGAATTGTACATGTAAAACTATTTCTCTATTGTTTACATCGTGGGAGAAGAATATACACGAACCAGGAGAGATTTTTACCCATGAAATGCACACCCTATCCGTTGAGATAGGTCTAATTTCGTGGGGAGGTGACTATGATGGGTGGCGGAACGTAGCATCGCCCCGAGCGAAAGAACGGCCGGTATTTCTGCAACGACGAATATGGGGCCAATTAACCACGATATACACGAGCCAGGACGTATTTTTACTTACGCAATGACGGCCATATTAACTACGATACGTCGAAATCTGTGGGGAGGTGAATATGGTAGGTGGTGGCACCTAGCATCGCCCCGAGCGAAAGAACGGCCGGTATTTCTGCAGCGACGAAGGCAGGACCAATTAGCTATGATATACACGAGACAGGACATATTTTTACTTACGCAACGACGGCCATATTCACTACGATACGTCGAAATCTGTGGGGAGGTGAATATGGTAGGTGGTGGCACCTAGCATCG